TTTTTTTTTTTTTTTTTTTTTTTTTTTTTTTTTTTGTGCTGGGACCTTCCGTTGCCCTTGCATTGCTGGGCTGCCCGGGAAAATAGGGTGACCCTGGCGGCCCGGCTGGTAGCCTAGATCTGACTGCATCTAAGGTCATACCTGGATGAATCTAACCACAATCATGTAATTGACAAGAGCTTGGTAGAAAAATGTGTCAGTGTGAATATGCCCGGAATCAAATCAGTTCGGTTCCAGACGTCATTGAATTACACGCAAACACAGGTACTAACTGTTGATAAACAGATCACGAGTTCGAATCCGATGAATAGTGTATAAACTTTATTAAAGTTATAAACTACGACAGCATATATGTTATGGGCTGCCCCCTTCAATAAATAAACCAAGTATTAAAAACAAAAATACATAAAAAGGCTCATGAAAGGGAACCAAGTTCAACCAAGCATAAGAAGAAGCACCAATCACGACAGCTTTTTTTTTGTTTACACATTGCTTGATTACCCTCTTTCTTTACTGACCCTAATAGAACGTCCCATCATGATGATATTAATATTATAGCTGTATCTTGACTATAAGTTGCCCCAAATACATCTATCTATAATGACCAGACGTTCTATATTCGGATGATGACAGTAGCGTTGACTCAAAGGTAGCCAGTGCACACAATAGCTCCGTCACGGTGCACCTGTCTACCGTCTTCACCCGAATAGAACGCCCGGTCATTATCGCTGCACCTGGACCCTAAAGTTGTGCCAAAAACAGCTATAATGACCAGGCGTTCTATTCGGGTGAAGACGATAGTCTGTGCTGACTAACAGGACACCTAACGAATTCCAGAATGGCTGGAAGCCACGATAACCTATAGACAGTCTCAATCCGGGGCCAGATTCTCACACGTCTCATTTGGAGCATTGGAATTTCCTCTGATAAGACCATTTCCAAAAATCCAAAATGTCATTCAAGTGCATTTTTGCCTTACTGTTTCACCCTGTTTTTATTTTTATTTTTTCGTTTTTTTTTTTAATGGTTTGTTAATATGGTGTGCACTCTATGGAATGATGCAATTTTTGGTTAAAAAGGCCTTCTGGTTTTCTTATAAATAGCATTAAAAAAATGCTGAAATTTTGGGTCTCCGTTAACCGCCTCTCCAGATTCCAAGATGACAACTACCCAGACAGTCTCAATCCGGGCCAGATTCAAAGACAACTACCCCAGACAGTCTCAATCTGGGCCAGATTCAAAGACCACCACCCGACACCCGTGAGTTCACATTGAAATATTATTAGGGGATTATATGAATTATAACATCTCTATGATATCCCAGACAGTCTCAATCTGAGCCAGATTCAAAAACCACCACCCGACACCCCTGAGTTCACATTGAAATATTATTAGGGGATTATATGAATTAGAACATCTCTATGATACCTATAGAAGAATATTCCCACGAGAAAGATTGTTCTCATGTATTCAACACAACGACACCCCTCACCAATCGAGATCCAAGTTGACCTTATTCTTATGTCAAAAGACCTTGATAAGGCTTTAGTATGAGCGGCCACTTTTCCCCAAAGTCCTTGGCCAGGGGTTGATCACAAAATGTGCGCAGTCCTTCTCTCCTTTAGGGAGAAACCGGATCAAGGAAGGAGTTTTTACAAGATGAATACGTCCTTACTTTCACAAGAGCGATTTAAAGAATACATAAAGGACGTATGGGAATATTGGCACACAACCCAAAACCAACAAGATTCTTTTATATCATGGTTCAATAATGGTTTGACCTTCATGGCAAAAAAATGTAATGAGTATTCTAAATTATTAACCAAGAACCGTCATACTCAAGAACTGGAAATCCAGAAACAAATCCTAGACTGTGAACTGAACAATCAATCTAACATTCAATCACTAATGTTTCCTAACATACCGGTATCCAGAATCTTTGAAATCAGTTATTAACCTTTGCACAACATCGTTGGCAGGGGTATATGATTAGGGGAAAATTAAATAAGTTTGTAACAAAAGGTCAAATGAACGCCTTCTTTTTTGCATTGGCAAGGGCAAGAACTAGGAAAACTACGATTGAAGGATTTCATGATCCGATGGGACCTATGGATACTTCTTCATCCTTTTTTTCAGCGCCTAGTCTCAAAATTGCTTACAATTTTTTTTAAGACTTGTTTACCTCTACCAAGAATCCCTTATATCGGCAGGAAGACAATGAGACAATAAAAGAATTCCTAGCCCCTGTTACTCGATCCCTTAGTCAACAATTAGAAAATCCTCTTACTAAAGAGGAACTGTGGACAACCTTATTACAAATGAAAGAAGGTAAGACACCAGGAATAGATGGTCTACACAAGGAATTTTGGGAAACCATGTGGCCAACTTTTTCTGACGACTTGATGAAGTTTATAAACGCAGTTTGGGAGTCTGGGGTGATGGGGGAAATGATTAGCCAAGGTGTCCTCACTCTTTTATATAAAAAGGTAGACAATACCAATATTAAAAACTACAGACCAATTACCTTACTTACTGTGGTATATAAAATGGTGGCCAAGGCATTGGCGAATCGAATGATACTGATCATGCTAGATATCATACACCTTTCACAAACGGGATTTATCAATGTTAGACACATTCAGGATAACATTCTCTTAATTAATGAAATGATCAAACTATCACGTCAACCTAAGTAGAATGCAGCCTTTGTATTCATTGATTTTGAGAAAGCATGTGACCATGTGGATTGGTGTTTTTTAGAAGTTTGTCTTCATAAGATAAATTTTGGTCCTTATATGCGAAAGTGGGTTGGTATCCTTCATTCTAGTGCCACAACAAGAGTGCAAGTCAATGGTCTTCTCTCCCCTGAAATCAAGTTACAAAGATCAGTCAGGCAAGGGGATTCACTGAACCCCTTCCTGTTTTTAATCATCATGGAAGCATTAGGGGCTAATATTAGGAAGAATCATAACCTTAAACGTCTTAAATTCGTTGGCATCCCGAAGGAGGCCATTCCAATTTATTTTATGTTTGCAGATGATCTCACAATAACGTTGGAAACTTCAGAAATAAACATGGAAGAAATTCAGAATTTAATGAATAAATTTCTTAAGGTGTTAGATATGGTGGTTAATTGGGGCAACAAGACACAAGGATGGTAGATACACTCTAATAGGGTGCGTCCTCCGAACAACCAAGAGTTAATTGGATTCCACACAATTGTATTAAAAAAAAAAAAAGATGGTAGAGCTCGCTAAGAAACTTTGCAGAGTCTGTGTAGACGTTCAAAGTTCGCAGTAGGTGGATTTAGTCTGCGTGAAGTCCAAGGAATTTGTACTTGGTTA